TTTTGCACAAAAGCTACTGTTCAGCATTTATAGTTCAAAAACAAACTTTAAAGTACTGGTTCCAGACCATTAATTTTTCAATATGATCCTGATCTACGGAACTGTTCTAGATTCTCTTTAACTCTATGATATTTTTTCTTGCTAGTGTGTAATACATGTTCCTTGCATGTGTAAGAGTAGTTCTTGTGTGTCCTTAACATACACCCTGTTCAAAGTTCTGCAACAATGAAATGCTAAAAGAAAGTACATATCTCAATTTATGCATAATCTAAGGAAATACAGTACCACACAACACTGTGGATCACTCAAAACATTACTCAACATCAAAGAAAATCTTCAAACCTTTCATAAATGAGCTTATCTCAAAATGTTGAGAGGTCAGTGATATCATTTAAAGCATACGATCTACACAATAAACAATGTCTATGTACAAGCAAATTCAAAATCAGCATTTGTTGATTAGCCCAGTGAATAGTACAAGTAAAATAACGTACATTACACTAAAACTATTAACAGCCAGTATCACCAAATTTTAACCATTATAATACCAGTGGTCAATTCCTACATACTGAGTCAACCTGATGACTGATATATACAATACTACTATACAGCATGTCCCGGGAGGAAATGCCAAGACTTCATTAGTTGTTTCTTGGGGCAAGTCTAAAAAAAGAATGTTACATCAGCATGTGTCTGATTCGTAACGTTTACCGAGATATGCAGGTCTCTGGATAAAAAAATAATAAAAATGTGATCTTAGATGACTACTTATTGTTAATTGTGGTACATACCAGATACAAGCATACTAATACCCGCATTTTAGTGTAGATTTTTTTGAAACAGCTGTGGAAGCATTTCCATCACAAAACACATACACAAATACCATGTCTGCATATTCTTCATATGAGAAAACTGCCGGCATTTTTTAAATGTTACGCTAAAACAACTATTGCAGTGCACATACTTATTTACACTCTGAATACACAACACCAACTTAACATAACCTAACTCACTCCGATCATAACAAGTCTCAACACGCAACAACGTCCTTAGATCAGCGTAGGTGGTGATGCAAAGACCTCCATTATGTTGGTAACCGTTAACAATGATACCACGTCGATTTTACATTTTTCACTTAAATTTCCCCAAGAATCAACTGACGAAGTCTTGACATTTCCTCCCGGCAGATTGTATAAGCTACTAAACTCTGGCCTTGTCAACACAACATTCAAACTACCAGAAGTCCAGAAATACACCAGATGGATGAAGATATATTAAAAGAACTAAAAAAGGAACCTACCTTGGACGGATTTTGAAATCTAAAACCAATCAGATTCAACATGTTGACACAATGCAGACACCTACCAAACTATTAAAAATTACAAACCACATGGATTAAGAAACCAAGGTCAACCTTTAAAAGGACTTTGGAATGATTGCGGCCAGAATAGGTCAATAAATAGCCTAACTGCTTATTTGGTATATGATAAAAAATTATGACAATCTTTAAAACAAAGAATATCATCTGACATATGTGAAAGCTTTGTCCCACTTTAGTTAAAAGGTGAAAAGGAGTAAAGTAAATTATGATGACCCAACTCCTGACTTACTTCTGAAATAGAACACTCGAAGAGCATGGACAGAGACCACGAAGTGTTTCATAATCCTTTTGATCTAAAATAACAGGAATTTGAAATAATGTTCTTTGATGTAAACTGCTGAGCCAGTGTGTACTCTCTTACTCAGCATTTTTGATGCTGAGCAAGTGTGTACTCTGTTACCCAGTATGTTCCCTTATTAGACATTTTGATATATCTGACTGATATTCATATAAAAGTTGCTGTGACCTTTAATAATTTTAATAGTTTATTTTCACTGTTGATTATTAATGTTTTTTTAAAATAATGTATCATGTTTCATAACGGCTTATCCCACAAACAAAAAAGAATACCCAAACACCCAAATTATGGAAAAGATCTGTAATACTAGAATGTAACATAATCAAATTTTTTCTTCTGATTTTATCTTACACCATTTCTTCCTACAAAAGACATTCATAAGTTTCATATAATTCATATACATACCTGATAAGAGCTCATTAATGAATGCCCCAATTTCAAAACCTAATGCAAGAAGAAAGTTTTACCTGACAATAATTTGGAAATAACACCTGCAGTAAGCACTGCTATGTTTGTCCCAGCAAAAGGATGACAGCAATTGAAACACAAAGGAGTAAGGTGTCAGGCAGGCTGAGAATCCATCAAGAAATAAATGAAATGCCAGGACTGATTCATGGACCTTCATCATTCAATCTGGATCTGTTTCTGCTGCACAAATTTGTTTTATTTAATCAGACTACAGTTACAAAAATTGAAATATACGAGGTGCGATCGAAAGGTTTCCAGACTGCGCGTATAAAAACCCATACACTTATCTCAGGTATCGAAGTAGTTCCCCTGGGAGTGAACACAACGATCCCAGCGCCGCTGCCAAGCCTGGAAGCATCCCTGGAAATTTTTCTTTGTCAGCCTGTCAAGCACCATCTGCGATTCTGCCTGAATCTCTTCTATCGTCTCAAATCTCCTTCCCTTTAGCTGAATTTTCATCTTTGGGAAGAGGAAGAAGTCACACGGAGCTAAGAAAGGAAGTTGGGGTCGGTTCTTGCAAGATCTTTGAGCTCCTGACAAACGAGAAGTCGATTCTGCTTCTGGTCCTCAGACAGGATGCGTCGCCTGTGGAGTTCTTCCTTTAGAATCAGCTGACAGATCCCATAGTCTATCCCAACAATGTCGCACAAGTCGTTGATGGTACGACGTCGATCTTCGTAACATTTTCGGGCGTTGTGCTCGAAGATGGTCGTCCAGAACGCTCGTCATCATCGCCAGAGGTTCGGCCATTTTTAAAACGTGAATGCCACACAAAAGTTTGTGCACGACCCATTGCGGACTCCCCAAATGCTTGCTTTAGCATTTCATAGGTTTCCGTAGCCGTTTTGCCGAGTCTTTGGCAAAATTTGATGCACACGCCATTCCGAAATCGCAGGAGGGTCGGTGTAATGCACTACGCCCGTAACTAAGAAACAAATGCTAATTCGATGATGCCGGCTGGCACACTGATTCACTATGAATGTAGGCCGCACCCCCTAGCGGCAGAAGCTCGTGCTACATCCGGTTCTCCCTCTATTGACACAGTCGTGAAACTTTCCGATCGCACCTCGTATGATGGACAAGTAATTAATGAATTTATTGTAAATCTTGTTCCTTCCCATCCAAAAAAAGGTAACAGAAGATGCCAACTTATGCTAAAAAGGGTGATTTGTGGTGGTGTAATACTTCATAATTAAATCATTTCAAATAAAAGAGTATAACAGCAAAATTAACTAACATCTGTGATGATTTTCAAAGAGAATATCTGAAATTCCAATTTGCTCATTACTGCATTCCAGCAGCTCAAAGGTTTGCCACTTTTGACACTACGTATCTGTTGGATTCCTGTGAAGAACATCAGCAGTTTCTTTCATTACTCATTCAAACTTGGCAAGTGTACAATTTAAATTTGGAAAGCTGAATGAAGAAGTCAAATGTTTGTAGGAAAGTATAAGCAAGAATTATCATTCTGCTCACTCCGCCACCAGATACTAAGTGGTCAATCAGCAAAGAAGTGACATACTTATCTACTAACAGGGGATCACTGACTCATTGTCCCACATCCAGCAACTGTTAGTATCTACTAAAATGCCCAATTGCATAACAAGAGTAATGTGACCATACAAGATAAATAGGGATTTTGACTCTGAACAATAGTCTTCCTCAAAGAGGATCACTGTGCCAATGTTTATATTATCTACACGGATTGTAAAAGCCATAAACATCTGTTTATGATAATATATACCACAGCGTGCACCTTGTAAAACTCAACTCAACAACAATCATGTAATATGATACAAAAATGGAATCAAAAGCAGGTCCACTCCACGTAACAGACTCACCTGACCTCCCCTATGACACTTGCGTCAAAGATAGGGTGCTGCTCAGAAGCTGTGAAGGTGCAAACATGATGTATTTACAGGCAGAATGTGTGTTCATTCCCAAATTACTTCACATCAAAATTATATGCATTTAGTAACAAAATGTTGACACACAGGGAATGTTTGTCTGTGATAAGTGCTCACTGAGTAACAATATCTGATTCTTCGGTTTTTTAACATGATTTGCAACTACACAGGTAATGTAGTGTCAAACAGTATGACTGCTGTGAATTATTAATTGGAACAAAATGGCCACAGCCTGTTTTAAGGTATATTTAATGATTTGCCTGGATAGACTGAGGAAAACCATGAGACCCCTAGACAGCATAGCAAGTCTTTAGCTCAGATTTGAAAATGGAGCCTCCAGCATGCTAATGACTCAACTGCAACTTTCAGTTCAAAAAAGGAAACAGGAAGTTTGTAAAATCAAATATTCTGCATGGCTATGACATCGCTTAACAAACTCACAAATTACATGCTTTTGGAAATCAGCAATAAAGCATCAACCAGATAAACTCAAGGAGGGCTTAGCAAACTTGCATCATTTGCTCTATCAATTCACTGACGGAACGGTCGAGCAATGACAGGAAGATCAGTCTTCATCAAGAGAAACTGAAGGGTTGTGGTGTGAACTAATGTGCACAGACAGAAAATTCTCTTAACTAACGTAGCAAAAGCCTGCAACAAAGTTTCCTAAATCCAGGCACTGATGAAACAGAAAAATATCCTTCATGATAAAAACCTAACAAAGTAAAATGACAACCTGTAATATTGTGTGAGACAACACAGTATAGCTTTCTTAGAAACTGCTCTCTCATTTCAATGTCTTGTGCAGTGATGGATTTAGGGTAAATACTGTTCACAATAGGTTACTCTTACATAGCCATGCATAGTCAGATATGAAGGTAAAAATAATGGTAAGGGGAGTATGTTTGGGAGCTGTAATGCATTTTATTATGAAGAACATGACTAGTAAATCAATCAGTATTATTTTATTTCAAATTCTAAATGTTTATAAAACAATTGTACCTCACATATGAATTCATTTTCTGTGTAATATCATGAGTTCAATGCAAACATATATGACTATGAATTTTCAAAATAATGCTTGTTTATGCAAATGTATGCAAAAAATATTGCAAAGAAAATGCTTTTTCGTCAACCTTCATTTCATCACACTGTTTGGTATAAAATTTGCTTAAAATTCAACTAGAAATAGGGTTTTATGTAAACATTCATGTTAACAAAATTATACCTTTCATGTTCCATTTCAACAAATATAATATCACATTTTCCAATCACATATTGTATTTTCAAAATAAAAGACTCACAAGGGAAACAATTTTTTCTGATAAATTTTCAGAGCAAAGCCCAACAAAATTAATGAAAATTTTATAAACCACTGTTGGTGAATACCTACAGCCCTGAACAAAGTAAATTAAAACTGAAAACAATTAATATTTTCAGACACCTAAATATATGCTTTCACTTGTGTGACAACAAGGTTAAAGGCATATTTTATATATCGTAATATAAAACAGTTGTAATACTGTACAACACCATGTTCTAAGATTGCGCATATTCCAAGACAGTACGTGATGTTATGAAAGACACAAAACTTTCATGGAAAATTATGAAAACAAGACATTTAATGGTATAATAACCAAAATAAATAAAATGTAAAACATTGCTCTGACATGATCAACAGTTTATAAGTCATGACCATTGGGCTGACCAATGTGTGAGACCCGTTTCGATTTATATTTGATGAAGCGACAGAGGTTTGTATTGACTGTTGTAACCACTAAATAATGATCACCTAGAGACTTCCTTTGAAGACGCACCTGTGTACAAAGCAATCATACATTAATCAGAAGTTGCACAAGTTTTCTTATTACATATCAAAGCTAATAGTGACCTATCCTTTAGGGCAATGATGGATCGCATTGGTGCTGGGCAAGAAGCAATTGCGGGTATGCCCTAATAAAATTATATAAACTTTTGGCATAATAAGAAACTTTGGGGGTTATTTCACTAAGGACTTCCTGTTACTCTTCTGTATCCTCCTACAGTAGGACATCATGTCTTCTTACATCTATATTTTGTATTTGGTTACAACAAGAAATCCTGATAATATTATTTATTTTACATGTCTTTACCAACAACAACAACAAATAACTGCATCATATATATGTATACACAAGCACATACATTTAAAGCAATTCAGCAAATGAAGCACATTACAATGCCCAACACCTTTAAAAGACATAATGCTATTTATGAACAAAACATAAATCACATTCTTCTAAACTTAAAATGGTGCAAAACCCTTATGTTCCAATGAGGACTACAAAACAATTGATTTTTCCACCTAATTTCCAGTTAAAAATAGGAATGTAAGTGAGGAGCTGGAATAAATAGGTAGCTATTATAAAGACACTCATGAAACAAGATGTAAGATTATTCCTCAAAATGACATGCTTATGTTACGAGCTATCTGAACTCAGGCGTATATCTGAACTTACCTTGTGTTTAAGTGATGGCAACAATGCTTTCAACTTCTCTACAAGGTTAATGTGTGCTGCTGCATTATCTGTCTCATCCTCTCCAAAGACATCTATTACCGTGTCAACAGCTTCAGCCACTACCCACAACTCAGATTCTCGACCACATACCTCCAGAAGGAACTTGCCAATGTTCTGGCCAACAAAGTTCAGAACCAACTTCAGTACGGTGCCAACACAAGATCAATGTCCAATTTTAAAGTATATATTCAGATTAAATTATAAGGAACGGTTTGAGTGCAAAGAAAACATGCATTACATGTTAATGTTTTTCCTTTTATCATACATTATTAAACATGTGAATTTATGTAAGTATTTGTGCAAAAAAAAAAGCTAACAATTCAAAATTGATGCCGTGTTACATAAATAAAGTAAGTAAGCATTCACCTGATGCAAAATATACATCCTTTTTTCATGTTTCATTTAGGAATCAGTGAACTTTAATAGATTCAAAATTTTAACTTACTTATAAAAGACCAATCTGGCAAGGAGTATGAAACATAAGTTACAGGCATAAAAATATTTTATCCTGATCTGCAAGTGTTATGGACACAATTATTTCATCGAAGATTTTACCTGAAAACATGTAACCTACTGCAGAATAATTAATTTCATCATTCTTTAAGTCTACACAGTGAATCAGTTATAAGTCTGTGGTGTACAAGCAACCAATACATGGCCAACTACTGAGGATGCACAAATAATTTACTCTATTTGGAAATAAGGCTATAGGTCTTGACACTTCATCAATAGCATACTAGGTACATGTTACAAACCTATCCAGAAATGGCGTTATTTCATCTTGAAAAGTAATTTGACAGAAATATGTAATGGGATATTATGTCAGCTCAGTTACATATGTCATAAAACACAAATGCATCATTCTTATTTCACATATTCATACCTTACCAGTTTTATTTAAACTCTGTAGGAATTTCAGCACTGTGCATCATTTAATGAGCTTTTAAAATAGCCCTCCTCATGCAAAACTTTGTGTATGTAAATAAGTACACCTCTTTCTATTACTGCACCTTACAATGATCAAGTGGAGAGCTTTATTTTCAAAAGAGATGTTTCAGGTGTCAAAAATCCTCTCAACTTTTTATTGATGTCAAACTTTCTTCCTGTTATTCTGCTCCAGTCTTCCTCCGCGTAATGACCCATTTTTAATTTAAATATACTGTAAAAATACTCCATTGTGACCAACACACTTTACACAGATGTCATAAATATGTGGTTAAAACTGGGACTGACATAACAAGAAGACAAAAATTGTTTCTGGCTGTCTTTGAGATTCACACGTACCTTGAGCAATGTTTGACCATCAGGTTCCACGGAGTTAACGAGAATCATGCCCAACATGCCAACACTCCTGATGAGGTTGGCTCTAACATTCGTGTCTGGGCATTGCAGCACAGTGTTAAACATTAGCTGAAACATAAATAAAAATGTGATAAAATATAAAATACCAAGAAGATTTCTGTCTTCTGGGTTGCTGTGCCGTATAGTCTGGTCGATGTTAACCAACGTTTCAGAGGTCATACTGCCTCCGTCATCAGGGCGATTCGAGTATGAAGATTTCTGTCTTCTGGGTTGTTGCGCTGTGTAGTCTGGTCCATACACAGCGCAACAACCCATAAGACAGAAATCTTTATCGCCCTGATGATGGAGGCAGTATGACCTCTGAAACGTTGGTTAACATCGACCAGACTACACAGCGCAACAACCCAGAAGACAGAAATCTTCATCGCCCTGATGATGGAGGCAGTATGACCTCTGAAACGTTGGTTAACATCGACCAGACTACACAGCGCAACAACCCAGAAGACAGAAATCTTCATCGCCCTGATGATGGAGGCAGTATGACCTCTGAAACGTTGGTTAACATTGACCAGACTACACAGCGCAACAACCCAGAAGACAGAAATCTTCATACTCACCGCTGTGAAAACCTTAAATCTTATATAAAATACCAATCCTACATACAATGTTATGCACTTATATTTGCTACTCTGCATTACCAGGGCCCCTAAAATATGCTTCACACTTGCTGATCAGTTGCTAGTATAAAAGTACATTGATGGTTCAAATATGACATGTACTTTTAATCACAGCATATAAATAAATCTTCTTACCTGTTTCATATTAGGCAGTCTTCTAGAAGTACTCTTCCCATACAAGTAAATACAAGTCCCACCCTATGAAGTGACTGTGTACAAAATAAGATCCACACAGTTCATGGGGGAAATAAAAAATAAAAAAAAACTGTCTCAAATTTGAATTGTCCATATGTATATAAAGTGTACTACCACACATGATTGGATTTTGTTATATGGTCTATATATTGATGGGGGGAGGGGGTGTCTGGATAATTTTCAACCTGGTCCAGCTTGCTGGCTTACGTATCACCCCGATGACAGGACAGTAAGCACCTCAGAAATGTCAACCAACTTCTACAAGACTACATGTCACAATATTCCAGAAGGTTGTCCAGATAACATAACTTTGGCTATGATTTTAACTTTTGTCCTCCTCCCAGATAAAAAGCTGGAATGATAACCACTCACGTGCAACATTTGGTACGAAAAATCATCGACTTAGTAGTAGCCTGTCCCCCAAACAGAAGCATTTTAAACATCCTACCTGCAAATCTGATTCTGTTAACTGCCCAAACAAATTACACTGGACTTCAGCAAGTTTCTGGAGTGTTGCTCTCAATGCAGATGTGGCTGCTTCCAGGAATCTAGTGTCAGTCACTTCTGCAATGTATGGGAAATACATGTGAAAGGTGTCTCAACATAATTCAAAATAGAATAAGTTAGGAAACAACTGTGGCATGTTCACCTACCTGGCTGCTTAAAAATAAGTGAGCCTATGCTACGCCACATTTCGTAAACATTTTTTGGTCCACCCAGGTCTTGTATGTCAAGACCAGCAAGAAGGTTGCTCAGACACAACAATGCATGGCATCTCAATGTCAACAACCTGAAATTTTGCAAATACTTAATGTACATGTGACAAACATTATAATAAGTCATAAAACAGAACATATAACATTAAAAGCTATAGTTTAAAAACTGGAATTGGTTGTCAGCATTGCCACCCAGGACAAACACTAGGGGTATTTGGTACCCTAGGCAAATCTTCAGCCCACCCCCCAAACAGACTTATGAAAATTAATACTGTGCATTAGTATGAATAAAAATTATGGATTTATACTTTCAAATTCAGTTTATATGAGAAAGGAGAATAATGATACTGAATGTACATTGTCATTGTTCTACACTTACACAAAATATGAACAAAAAGAAAAGTACTTTAGAATTTAAAATTTTATTTTCTACACTTTAAGTTTAGCAAACACAAATGCAAGTTTCACAGGTGAATATTTTGTGCAGTTTCATGTTTCACTGATAATGTAGAGAGCCCAACAAATCTTTTTTTGCAACAATGAGAACAAATGCATGTTCTGATCAGCTCCAGCTTATACAAGCTTCATTCACCACTAGAAACAGAAACATGGAAAGTCAAAATATGCAGATGGCAATGAATGTGTTGGGGGCAGTATCTGTCAGCTTATGTTTGCATACAAAGTTTGATTCATTTTGTGGTGATGCACACTTTGTAACTCCTCATTTTAACACCCCTCCCCCCAAATTTTGACACCCGTTTTCCTAGTGGTTACACTGGCCGAGTTCCCACTACATATACAGGTAAACCTCGATTTACGCCGGGATGCGTTCCTAGACGAACCGGCTTAAATTGAAACTCTTTTTATAATGTACATCAATGGGAAGTCAATGACATGCGTTCCCAGCACCCAAACATTGACGACTCAAGTTCCTCAAAAATTGATTTCGCCTCCACAATTTCAGTCAAGGGAATGTTTTTCCAATTCATGTCATCCACCCACAGCAACAGTAATTTCTCCATTCTTTCTAAAAGTTTACTTCTGCTGTAACTCACTTGCGTCGCACTTACTCTTGTAGCCTGTTGCATTGACTGTTTTATTTTATATGAATTTTTCATTATGGTAATGACAGTGGAAGGAGGCAACTTCATACTTCTGCACACATTACGACGGGTATCACCACCTTCTATTCTACGAATTACGTTCATCTTATCTTCTAATGCAATAGACCTACGCAACTTTATAGCAACACATTCACTTCTCTCACCAGACGTGGTGGCTCTTCTACAATTTATAAATATAAAACCGTTGCTACTGCAGAATAGTAGTTGAACAACACAAACACTTTTAGCACATAGTTTTCAGCACTTTCAATGTGTCAACAAGAAGCGAACTGAGCGCATTTTTCCTTACTCCCTTATCAGGCTGAACGTAAATGACTCACCGTGAAGAGTGACCAATGCTCACGTGACTGTTGCACAATGTTGGCAGATTTTTAGGAGATTATCTCGCAACTACTTAGCAATGAGTGCAGAGGTGACTGTATTTATGATTTTTATTCAAAATCAGCGATGTAAGAATTACGATTTAGTATAAGAATCAGTACGAGAAACATTGTAAACGTTATAAATAATAGTAAAATATATTTTTTTCACATTTTGACTTGCTGGTTTCAAAAGCGGCGTTATCCTGAATCGGCGCAAATCGAGGGTTACCTGTATCAGTAAAAATCCTTTCAAGTGCACAAAATGTAAATGTTTTATAATGAACCTTTGTCTGTTTCTTGTAGCATTCTTGGTCACAAACAGAACTATGAGTATTGAACTAACATTAAGAAGATATTATGGACCTCACAGATTGTTACTACCAATGACAATATCATATGAAGTCAAACTTTCCATTTCTGTATTCCTACACCGGGATATCCTGTGGTCATGTTTCAGGATATAAATACATGCATTCATAGACAACTCATTCATATATATTATTATAGTAATGTGCTCCCTGTTGGTAAAAGCAATAATATCTTCTAATCACTGAATGAACTATATCCTTAATTTTCCATTATACAAAGTCTTAGAAAATTTAATTCTATAAACAGTATAGCTACTTACTTGTTAAATACATGTTTCCCATCAACATGACTCTTCAGGATTTCACACACATTTTCAGCAGGTAACTGAGTATTTTCTAATATCTTCTGCACTAACTGACCACTCACTATAGCTTCATGAACCTATCAGAACAAGACAATATTAGAAGATATTACGTTCTATTTTTTCAAACAATGATAACAGTATCCTAAAAATATCAATAGCTTTGATAATACCAGGTGATTCAAAAAGAATTTTACAACTTTGAAAGTGTATAGAAATTTAATCAGAAAGCTTACAGAATCGGTTGAGGTGTCATTTTGTAGCAAAACAAATCAAGTTTGACTCACGTTGTGCTGTAGTACCGAATTCCGTCACCGCAAGTGTCAGTGCATTTGAAAATGGCTACTTTCACAGGTGCGGAGCGCGCTCGCTTGTGCTGTGGTTTGAAGAAATGAAATCTGCGACAATGGTTCAACGAAATTTTCGCACCCAGTATGGCAAGGATCCTCCGAGTAGACCTACAATTTACTCTTGGCACAAGAATTTTGTTGAGACTGGTTGTTCTGTTCGCCATGACAAATCTCCAGGTCGCCCGCGTGTTTCTAGTGCTGTTGTGGAACACGTTCGTGACAGCCCAAAGGTGAATGTGTTTTGTGCCCTTAGCAAAGTTAAAGTGTACGGCCCGTTCTTTTTCCATGAGAGAACCATCAACGGTATCGTGTATCTGGATATGCTCGAAAATTTTCTCATACCACAGTTAGACGAAGATGACCAAAAAGGACGCATTCACTTCCAGCAAGACGGCGCACCACCTCACTACCTCACAGAAGTCTCACTGAGCTCAAAGCTCAAATCACTGCCGCAGTTGCAGAAGTGACACCGGATATGCTGGATCGTGTTTGGCAAGAAATTGATTTCAGGTGGGATGTCTGCAGTATCACCAATGGCAATCACATCGAACCAAAATGACTGTTTAAGGTAAAACTTGATTTGTTTTGCTACAAAATGACACCTCAACCGATTCTGTAAGCCTTCTGAATAAATTTCTGTACACCTTCAAAGTTGTAAAGTCCTTTTTGAATCATCCTGTATAAAGGCATCAGGGAAAAAAACCACAAATTAAAATTATACCTTTTTAAACCATTTTCACTTTTTTACATAATCTCTTTGCCCATACTTACCTCTGAAGGTATACTGAGACACAGTTTCTCAGTTGATGGAATGTCATCCTCCTCTACTAATTCTGAATCACTCAACAGACCATCACTGCAGCTGTCAGATGAATCTTGATCCATGGCATCCTCATCAGCATCTGTAAGTGTACACAACAGATATGATAGACCAAAACTGCTTCTGCAATTTCTCCTGAAAATGAAATGCTTTAATATCAGTCATTTTACAAAGAGAAGTATATTTAATACAATATTTACAAATAGTGCTGACAGCAACTAAACAAACTAATTCATGAACCTGAAAAATCAACATTTAATGTACTTCATCTTCACAGGATGAACCACATTCACTGTTAAATATCACACAAAGTTTCAGTGAACATTGCAATTTCCAACCTCAGGGTGAATATATTTACCCTGAAGACATCAACTGCAATGTACAATAGTCAAGGCAGCTCAGACCACAGGCCGAACCTATATGCCAATCTACAGTGATGAAAACCTACGGACAAGAATCAACATTTAATTTCAAAAGATGATTTTAAATCTTTTTCATTGAACTGGAATCAAAACATACCATCATCAGAACAGATGTTTGCCAATAACTCAACAGCAATCTTCTGAGCTTCCAAAAGATACTCCATTACAGTGACAGACTTCAACACCTCTTCGTGGTGAGTTGGGGTTTCAACTACTTCATTGAGGGGCAAGCTGCTTGTAAAACTGTTGAGGACCTTGCGATGATCAACACTTAGGGTAGTTGACAGATTACACAACAGCTGAGTCATGATGGTAGGTGACAGACTTAACACCTTACCATAGTTCAAGTTAAGTACCAAACCTAGCAAAAAAAAAAATCACACACAATCACTTCAAAAATATTTTAAAGATGTTGCATCATTATAACTGATGGACATCTAAGATGCAACAACAAATAATCGCCAAAGACATTTCCTTCATTCCAAATGGAAATGTAATTTATGTTTGTACTGTTTATATCTGTCCTACAGAATATACTTTGGAATATATTTAATGTTTACTGCATTTTGGTCTGTAACTACATAAGGTATACGTACTTAAACCTGTAGTCACAACTTATAATATGCACTGCCTATTTACTACTTGCTTTACGGAAATCTAGGTTCATCGCAACTATAGCAAAATCCTACTTTCTGGCTCAGTACAAAATGTTTCCTTAATAACTACTTCTACAGCATTTTCCCATGAAGGCTAGTATAATTTTCAGGTGCACTCAGGTATTTTATACTACATACATATCTTTAATTGTGAAATAAATTTATATAAATTTAGGACTAACCTCCTTACAATAAAAGTGTGCTGGGCATAAAATGTTTCATTTCTCTACAAATTATAGATCAAATAATTTTTTATGTAGGTCTTCACATAAAGTGTCCATTATTATTGTCTGATTTTGACCACATACTCCCCAATGTAAACTTGACAAAATTCAATTCACTGGTTCCTATGTGGACAGATGAATAAAGAGACATGATGAAGCTAAAAGGTACATTTTTGCAGCTTTGCATTGCAAATGTGACAAACATTAACATAAAAATGTCAACAATTAATTTCAATGAAAAACTTTAAACCCAGTTCTGTTTGTCTATTTCTCTCATTAACAACAAATATTGCCTTTAACAATTTATTACCACTTTCATGATTATGAAAGTAAAGATACAAGGACCAATGTTCTCACAATCTTACTCCTCAATCTCTGTCTTTTAAAATTAAATCTTTGATTAACTAACCACAAGCCAGAGTCCTGAGAAGTAGCGTAGCAGATTCACTGCCTTCAAGTTCAAGGAGTTTGTGAATGGAAGTACTGAAACCCTGCAGCTTACTAACGGATGTTGGATTATCCTCTGTCACAATCAGCAGACAGTGAGCTGCAACACAAGAATAAGAGAAACATCATAAATACTCTTTTTCCACTGGGCACTGCCACCCAGCCTTTGCTTCTAAAGTGTGTTCTGGAATTATAACCAAACAGTCTGACTGTCTTCTGGGGTGCTGCACCTGCAGTACGGTAGATGTATCAGGAGAATGAATACTCACCTCCTGATGGAGGTAGCACACACACCTCTAAACAATGGCAAACTTCTACCAGTTTCAAGATTTCTGTCTTCTGGGTTGTTGCGCTGTGTAGTCTGGTCAATTCATCACCCTGATGACGTTTCAGAGGTCATAATGCCTCCGTCATCAGGGCGATTCGAGTATGAAGATTTCTGTCTTCTGTGTTGTTGCGCTGTGTAGTCTGGTTGATGCTAACCAACGTTTCAGAGGTCATACTGCCTCCGTCATCAGGGCGATGAGTATGAAGATTTCTGTCTTCTGGGTTGTTGCGCTGTGTAGTCTGGTCAATTCATCACCCTGATGACGTTTCAGAAGTCATACTGCCTCCGTCATCAGGGCGATGAGTATGAAGATTTCTGTCTTCTGGGTTGTTGTGCTGTGTAGTCTGGTCGATGTTTACCAATGTTTCAGAGGTCATACTGCCTCTGACATCAGGCCCCTGATGATGGAGGCAGTATGACCTCTGAAACATTGGTTAACATCGACCAGACTACACAGCGCAACAACCCAGAAGACAGAAATCTTCATACTCACCACTGTGAAAACCTCAAATCTTATATATCATATAATAATTTTCTAATAATTATTGTAACAAATACATTTTTAAAAGTTTATTTATTTAAATTTTACAATTATGTTCACTATACGTTTGGTATTTCATTTTATAAGGAACTCTATCTATTGGTAACTTTAAGAAATTTTGAATGAATTGTGACGTTCGTTATAGCGAATGTTCGTAAATCGAATGTTCATAAACCGAGAGTTGCCTGTATTTAAATTTCTGCTCACCAACTGCAATTGTTGTATCCACTCCAAATACATCAACTTCTAGACACTTGACAAGAACAGGCAATAAGTTTCCATTGTTGAAATACTTCACTGCTACACTGTTACTTTCGCTGAAAAGAAAACAATGTCACACACAGATATCTGCCTCAGTCTTCTAGATTAGAACAAAATTACAAATGTGTTTTTCTTTCTTGAAAGGCAACTAGTGATAATCCTGAAATAAAATAATTTGAATAATCAATGTGATTGACCACAAAATAACTTGTAGCCAATAATCTTACAAGATGATTCACAGGATCTTTTCAATCAATCCATCACAAATTGACTGCTGTTAAAGTGTCAATTACACCAATATGTGAGCACTTCATTCAACATATTCTCACTTACATAAGGATTCAGAAAATGCTTTCATTGGGCTCATCGATAAAGCATACCAGTTCCTGAACCCTTCATGTGCCAACATTTTCATACTTACCACAGGTTCCACAACAAGTGCACTGCCTGGGTGAAAGTGTCTGTCAGTTCGTCTACCTTATCGTCCTCCAATTTCTTTTTTGTTGGTTGCCAATCTGCAGCATACTGCAACAGAATAAAGCACTGTAACACAGATTCTTTTACTACTAAGACAGGCTATGCCGAAGCTGTCCTTCCCTACTGCTACACCCTGTCTTGGAAAGACTTCTTTCACTCTCTGTCAATTTGACAACATCACTGCACCTTCTTTATGATGTAAAGCACGTAGTGCCACAACGACTTGTTCTATGTGTGTATGTGTGTGTGTGTGTGTGTGTGTGTGTGTGTGTGTGTGTGTGTGTGTGTGTGTGTGTGTGTGTGTGTGTGTGTGTGTGTGTATATATATATATAAAATCAAATAACAGTTCTCCTATGGCCCATAACTTACGAAACAAACTGCATAGAATAAACATTAGCAATTACAATACCAAATCATGCCGCTTCATACATAATTTTGATATATCGACCAGGCCATCTATTACGATTTTCTGAAAATGTTTACACAGATATTAGTTCGATCTGCCTGTTCCTAACGAGAAAATGGACACGGTCGATACGTAGTTGCGGAACGGAATAGGAGGATAACGACGACACCAAGTCCAAAGGTATAAACTTGCAGAGTACAGCTAATCCCATTATTTCTAATCTGCAGTGTACACCTTTTATTCTTGCTGATTTTGCGCCTTAACGCTTGGCTGAAAAGCCGAACAGGCGAGTCTTAACGAGCCCCTTGGTATTTGAGAGCAGAAACTAACCGAGGGAAACTGCGTGAACTGACAGTCAAGAAACAAGACACCTCCATCTCTGTTCGCGAGAAAGAAACAAACATCTGTCTAAAAAAAAGGGTAACAAACGAGTCTAATATCAGACCTAGTTTGCAGTTTATGCCCCCAAGATCACTCAATGTGATCAGCTACCACACCAAAAAAACTACGGATCGTAACAACAGAATAACTGGTCCCAAAAATTCCGATAATACAATGGGACTATTGTTCACTCATAACATTTAATGCTCCCCGTTTTCTGTTATTCGTCTTTCACAAAAGCAATTTTTCAATTCATGGGCTACAGATAAAGGGGAAGGACAGGGCACAAACTTGAGACAAGGTGCTTTTAATTATCACACGCCATTAAGAAACAAAATTTTAAGCTTTTGAAAACGAAACTATTTAAACGGGGTACAATTTACTGGAAAATTTGAGGATGATTCTGGCTCTCAAAATATTGCTCGGATTCGTGGTTTTCGTTTGGTTCAAATAAGATTACTCAACTGTTCTAAACACAGTGAATAGAAAATAAGCTTTGTAATGAAATGAGATGCGTTTTCTCAGAGGCAAGACATTTATACATTGTATGTCACGGACAATAAATAATTTTAAATGCCCAGCTAACCGTAACAAATAATTATCAAAGCCAGTGAAATACGCAAATAAAATCAGAAACATAGCACGTGCACATTTCTCATACATGCAGCCAACTTCAGACTTCCTGTTAGACGTTTGGAAGAAACTGAAAGGCAAGGAGCATGCAAGCATGCTTCGTGATGACGCAATAATGTAAACTACACCAGAATTTTCGTCGTAAACTCTACAGAATGAGAAACTCCATAGTTTGCACTCTTCACCGAATATTATTTTGGGTGAACAAATCAAGGAGTATGAAATGGGAAAGGTTTGGATGGCGCATAGGGAGAGAAGAAATGCGTATAAAATCTTGGTTGGAAATCCTGAAGGAAAGAGAATATCCAGGCGCAGATGGGACGTTATTATCAAAACCTATCCTACGTAAATAGCGTTTGGGGGTGTCGAGTGAATTAATCTTGTTCAGGATAGGGACCGGTGGCGGGCTCTTGTGATCACGGTAATGAACCTCCGGCACGGGGATTCGATCCACACAGCAAACTGCGCGTCAGGGAATTTACACGTGTAATTTCGTTCATTGACGTATAAGAGACGGATCTAATATTCGATACCATTAGTTGAAAAGTACAAACACGTTCTCTGCGAGATGACATTTGTACTGGCCTTGATGTATACGTATTTCTAGTACAATTTGTAGCGGTACAATCAAAATGTATCTCTTAATATTATTTTACAAGTAATTCCACTGAAACAAGTTAAACTCATTTACTTCAAAAATAAGCTATTCTCGTTATCTTTTAGTTTAGGATTTTAGGTGTTCGTGTTAATGTGAGTTTCATAAAACTGTCTTCAGGGGTGCTGCGCTATGCAATCTTCTGGTTGTATAACTACAAGGAGAGACAGGATGTCTCCATTTTCAGGGTTAACCATTATACGGAGGCACCATATACTTCCGAAACGTCGTTACGCAAACGGAATACTGCATTTTGGTTGCTACGTCCTATAGCAATTCAAATACGTAATATTTACGGACACAGGATCCGATATGAATCAAATTTTATTCAGTTCTGTCCATGAACTTTTTTCCTGATCACATGTAACTTTATTTTCATGTGAAACTAACTGCAGACATAAAATCTGTGAAAACAGATATCTCATCGACATAAAAACGACTGATTCATATAAAATATCCTAAAATCTATATTTCCATAATTATAAAACATTTTATAACAGTATTTACTCGATTTTAAGAAGCACTTTTCACATTTTAACATATCTGAAATCGGTGTGCGTCTTATATTTTATGGCGTCTAAAAATCGATAGCGTCTGTTTTCTTGAAAACCTAATAATAAATCAAGTGTGCGTATTACAATCGACGGCGTCTTAAAATCGAGGAAATACGGCAATTCTAATCATCAGCGTCATAAATTTCTCAGCTATTATTCACAGTCACCTCTCTCCCCGTTATATCAACGTTAGAAATATTCCCTTTGTTTTCGAATTCTTAAATGTTTAAATCTGATGTTCTACATCTAACTGAACCGTTAGCGCTCGCCCCAAAGCTAAGCTGATGAAATAATTGGTAAAAATATTCAATCTCAACTGTCACTATAAAATGTCACAATTTGAAACATTATAACGACTCATAATTATACCGTGATGAAGGTGAACAGCTAGTCTATTTTTCACCGATAAAAATCACTTAGCATTTATAATACTTTGCGGTACGTTACGGAAAGGGCGAAAAAAAATACAGAATTTTGACAGAGAACCAGGGGCAGTACCCATTTCAGTAATGTACAGGAACACGGCTGGCCATCTCTGAAACCATTCTCGGACACTACACTAATGATCACGTTTAATTTTACCTCACTTTTGGTCTGAATAATCCTGTAATTAAGCAAAACAACGAAGTACACATTTGTGTTATAGCGAATATGAACACGAGGTTACACAGCAGCACCTCTCCACCTATTTTCATTTGCATCTAGTTGTACTTGTCGTCACTGCATTTCCCATCGTCCTCACGCTGTTCTGTCAGTCCCTAGGGACTGGTCAGTCTCATTTCAGAGCAGACTAATGAAGCCCATCACAATTTGAGTTGGTAGATTACAACTGGGGACAGAGGATGGCACCAAAGGCTGCTAATAATTCCCCATTCCCACGTCCCTCCCACCTAACTTTAATGTGATGGTTGCAAAATTACCAACAGAGTCCCAACGCATATATACCGGGCAGCAGAGTAGAAGTGGGACGGTTCTAACACTGATAGATACGGGGGTAGGAGGCCCAGTGCAATAACAGCAACCCTTGGGAATCAATATTACTGATGAGTGATGCGCTGAAATTACACACCCCTAGCAGCGCACTGACAATAAATAGACATGGAATTGCAGATACATACAGTGTAATTCACTGTCAGCTGTTAAGAATAACAATACGATGCTCAATATCGATAGTCTAGCTCTCGAAACACGCCTTCTCGTGTCAAACAAAAAGTATTTACTGGTGTAAAAAGAAATTCAACGGCGAAAATAACGAAACTGAGACGTTTCTTACTTTCACGAAAGAAGATATCGTTAATACAGATTAAAGGTAATCCGACTATTCCAAGAAATGCAGCTATTAAGCGTTTCGATTCACCGACGTTTCGATCGCAACGTACTCACGCCCATAAAAAAAATCGACGGATGTAGATGGGTGGGTTGGAGGTGACGAATTTTATTATGGCATTTATGAGGAAGTACCCAATCGACATCTCTGAATTTAAACTCACAATTACTGCCGATATACACATTCGGAAACAATGGATATGCTCAGTGTTACAAAAAATTAGACATTTTTTACGCCCACCTGCTGATAATTCATATAAATTGTGGTGAATTTTCAAAATAAAGTATCGGTTGTGGTATTCTGTGCTGTGACGCCATGTGGCCTTGCAGGCGGTTACCGATATTTCGGGGCAACGTAGACTGCAGCTGGCATCATGACACGACCACAATTAGACAACTTCACCGCCGTGAGTACAAATTTCTAAAGAAAAAACACACTCTTTACTCGACTTATGACGAGGGAATAGCCCGAATTAAAAAAATACAGATTAATAAACCATTCTAGGCGTCGATATCGTACACTTACCACAAAGGATGCAACAAACCATTTCCTACTGGCAGCACTGAACCACAGACTATGTTTCTGACTAATAAAATCATTGCAAAAATACATAATTAGCCCACAGTTCAGATATTTCTCAAAACTATCTAAACCATGGGTTCTCAACTCGCGGTCCACCGGTGTTTTGTGCGGCCCGCGTACATTTAATGTAGTATGGTGTCATTTTGTACTACGAAAAATAGTTATCGGACAACAGACAACAAGATTTGTTTATATCGTCACTTCCTACCGCTGTTAACCAATGAAAAGCTTAATGACAAAAGTATAACCAACCAGGATGCATCTTACTAATTAACACTTGAAGGGATTCTCAACACAAACGAAATCTGGTACCGAAAAATTACTCAAGCACAACCAGCGTCAAATATCTAACGTCTGGTTTTGTAACTGTCTGCAGTAGTAAGCCTAATTCAGCAGCATTTTTAATAATCTCTGCCATAGCATTTAAATAAACTGACCTCGTTTACAAGTTTGTGGAAGCAAACGCGAATGTGGTCCTACGCCTCGAAAAGGTTAACAACCCTTGATCT